GATAGAAGTAACATAAAAGTCCAGAATTTTCTTCCTTTCTGAGTATTTGCTGCTACAAAATTCTCCTTCTGTATGCAAATGGCATTCCACAATCTATAACATATTGTTTCCATTTTTATTCAGATCAAAATATTTTAAATCTCCTCTTGCTTTGTTTCTTTAACCCATGTGTTTAAAAAGTATATAATTTTATGTCTAACCACTTGGGGATCTTCCAGAAATATTTCTGTTCTTTACTTCTAATTTAATTCCATTGTTTTGAGAGACATATGTTGTATGACTTTTAAACTCACTGAGCCTTGTTTTATGTCCCAGTATGTATCTGCCATAGTAAATGTGTCATTTGCACTTAAAAATAAAATTATTTCTGGTCTTACTGGGTGAAGTATTCTATAAATGTCACTTAAGTTAATTTAGTTGATAATGTCTACACTTCTACCTATTATTGATTTTCTGGTTACTTGTTCTATCAATTATTGAGAAAGAAGTATTGGCATTTCTAAACTATAAACAAAGATGAGCCCATTTCTCTTCTCAATTCTGTCAGCTTTGCTACATGTATTTTTAAACTTTGTTATTAGACGCATGCATGTTTTGGGTGATTAGATTCTCTTAATGTATTGGTACCTTCACATAATAATGTAAGCTTCTTTGTCCTTGACAATAGTCTTCCCTGTACAATCTACTCTCTCTAATATTAACATAGGGACTGCAACTTTGACTTGGTTTAGGGTGGCATATCTTATAATTTTATGGAATTTGTGTATTACATTTTCAATTTAAACTTTGTTTCCTATAAGCAGCATATACTTTGGTCAGAACATTTTGTTTTTCTGTAGGATAAGCTGAGATTGATTACCTTTGGAAAGCAAAAACACAGATGGAGATTGAAGCAGAAAGTGAACTCATACATTATTGCTTGGAAAAAGTGTTACAGGTTACCATGAACCCTTTAATGGAAGTGTGGGTTGATTTTTGTTCCTTTCTGTCTTAAGATAAACTAAACTTTATTGCCTAGCAGAGTATAAGGCCTATAAAAACTGTTCAAAATGAACAGTTATATGTGTAAGTTATGAGGCTAGTCTATCCATTTCCTGCATGATCCTGCTCTACAGGCTTGTAAAATTAATTTTGCAAAAATTGTGGTATTATGGACATCACAGACATCCAGACACACCATGTCAGTAGTAGCAGTTCTTTCCCATGATGGTGGGGAGAAAGGAGAGGAAGGTCAATAAAGCGGTACTGTAAGCTTTAAAGCACATCAAGTCAGCCTTCTGTTCCCCACCAAGTAAACAAAACTCTGGGAGAGACATGAGAAAAAGTAGGAAAATATATCTTGGATGAGTCAGATACACAGTGAGTACATCATTCCCTTTATAGGTCTTAAAAATGAATGTTATATGGTCATTTTATTTTTGTCTTTTTTTTGTCTTTGAGACAGAGTCTCATTATGTAGTTTAGGCTGGCCTTGACCTCACTTTGTAGCCCAGGCTGGTCTGGAACTCACAATGATCCTCCTGCCTCAGCCTCCTAAGTGCTAATATTACAGGCATGTGCCACCATACCCAGACTATAAGGTAATTTTAATAGCATTTTTAATGCAATACACTTCACATAATATAAAATTACCAATTTAAGCCCTTACTGTATTTACTGTGTTATACAGCCACCACCGCTAACTCTAGAATATTTCCATCTCAAAAAGAATACCAGTTCCTATTGACAGATAATCCTAATTCCTAAATTATTCCCTAAGATGATACCAAAGATCACTCTAATTTCTATTACTCCAGAAATTTCTAAGGTACACACACACATACACACACACACACACACACACACACACACAGTACTGCCATTTTTAAAATAAATTGTTAACAGAATCAATTACATTGATTTAACACTTAGTACCTAACTGGAGCCTAGAGATGGGAAACTTGAAACAGCTGCCCGAATACCACTGGGCTCTGATTATGCACTCAGAAGTCAGTATCAGTTTCTTAATCAGGAGAGAAAGCAAAAGTCAACCCGAGTTGTCTGAATCTGAGAATGCTTCTCTCCAGTTCCAAAAACAGTAACACAATCACTGATTTCCACAGTGACTTACTCCCTGATAAATTTGCATATCATATTATGCTTTCATACTTTTATTTTTGGTAGTATTGTATTGGACCCATATCTTTGCACTAGGTGATATCGCCAGCCCTCCCTCCTTTCTCCCTCCCTTCTTTCTTTTCTTCCTTCCTCCCCTCTCTCCGTCCTTCCCTCTTCTTTCCTTCCTTTTCAATTTTCAAGACATGGTCTTGTTAAGCCACCATGTTGCCCAGGTAAAGCTCTAATTTAGAGTCCTCCTGTCTCAGCCTCCCAGAGGTGCTATGCTTTTATGCTTTTTCTTTTGCTATTCCATTCACTACCAGATCTCTAGTATTTAAAATAATGCCAGGTGCAGAGTGGGCAATCTATATTCAGTGCCTATTAAGGAAATGATCTACAGATGCATGAAAGTCATATCACTACAAGCTGGTCTAAACAGTGGAGCTAAGAAACATGTTGATCATTAATGCCTCAAACCTGTGTGTTCCACAGGAAGAACACAAATGCTAAAAACTGTAAGACCAACATCTTGCCCGGAGAGGTAGCTCAGTAAACTAAGCGCCTACCTGGCAAGTGCAAGGTCCTGAGTTCAATCCCTGGTACCGCAAAAAACAAACAAACAAACAAACAAAAAAACAGTATCTGAGACCTAGAAGTAATTGAATTTTATTTTATTAATTATGAACAACACTAGTTATGGTACCTTAATATAGTGCTTTTTTGCAGAAATTTATCAGCACCAGTTTATGGCTAAAGCTGCATGGAACCACAGTATCAATTACAATAGGTTTATATATTTTGGCTGTATCAAAACTAAGCAAAAGCAGAAATGCAAGTAAGGGTCACTGGGTTTGTGTTCACCACTCCTTGGAAGGAGATAAAATGATTATATGCTTTTAAATTTTATTTTTAGCAAATATATACTATGTGTTTTTTATTTTTGTTCTTGTATATATTTTATTTAATAACTCTATTAATTCAGCTAGATATTCCAAGAACAACCTCATCATAAAAACTGAATTTTCACAGAAGTCACCAAAAATCCTCTTTTCCTTTATTTCTCTGTTTTTTGGGTTTTTGTTGTTGTTGTTGTTCGTTTGTTTTTTGTGGAACTGGGGATTGAACTCAGGCCCTTGCGCTTGCCAGGGAAGCGCTTATTCTACTGAGCCATCTCCCCGGCCCCTTTGTATTTCTTCTTTATTCCTCTGAATCAGAATTTATTCCCCGGCCGGGTAGCTATGGACATGCTATCTGGCCTTCTGAGTCTGCTCATCACAGAACAGGGACAAGACGAGTAATTCATGGGCGTGTGGTAATTGCGCGGGTTAACGGGTATCTGGCATTCAGAACTCAAATGTCACTGCTGTCAGCATTTGTTTTTTCTAATACTTTGCTACCTTTGAGGGAACAGAACACTGGATATTCTAGTGTATCCAGCTTCCTGAGTTCAACAGAGGACACAGAGACAGGACTCATGGCTAGGGCATCTGAGGTTATCTGGATAAGATGTTGGAGGCTAAATTGTTACGTGTTTCTTAAGACCAAAATTCAGAAGACTCTGGAAGGCAACTGTGCTCACCACTATACCAGCAATGCATTAGAAGATTCTGAAAAGTTCCATGCCCTTGGACACCGGGAGCTTTTCATGGGTCAGTATGCAAGCTTGGAGAGGAGAAGTGGGTCACTGGGGCTCCTTCTAAGCTCCCGTCGGGCCTCCCTCCCAGTCTTCAACTCCAGTCTCACCTTTTCTCATTTATAACCTCCCATTCCCATCCTGTTCATCTCAATCCTTCCTTCCTTCCTGTTCCCACTGGAACCAAAGGGTACAAATGACCAATTCGGATAGAAATTTGGATCGAGTCCAACCTACCTTATGATAAAGCAGGAATGCCATAGTGCATAGTTCCTAGGAATCAGCACCAGTTGCCCAAATTTGTGCGGCCTTTCAACTAATTATGGGGATTTCCTCACTTGATTACTAGTGTCATGATCGGGAATATTTCAAAATGTTCTTGTATTTCTAATTGTTGGAAAGCATAAGGCTTTCCCTTTGTGTGCCGTCATTTGCCGTTACAGTTGTGCTATTTTTAATCTCAGAAAAGTGTTCTAGATTTACCTTGTCAACCAACTTCGACACAACCAACTCGACATAGCTTTCAAATTCCAAATAGTTTTCAGAGTTTTAGAATCTCAGTAACAAGCAGTAACCCTTGAATTTCTCGATCTTTTACTTTCCTCTTAGGGCATAATTCTTCTTTCCTTTATAATAAACCCCATCTTTGCACACTGCAGAAGCCAGTAAGTCACAAGGAACTGTCCTGGAGCTGGTTTAGAGGGTAGGCTGGCACGTGTGGCTGTATACCCAGGGACGCACTAGAGGCCTGTGCATCACCCCTCCCATGGTGGCCTTGGGTAGTTGAGGTTGTGAGCTTTCAGACTACAATTACTGTATACTTAGATGTAAGTAAGAGACAGCAGACTTGAGTTTTGTGTACCTCTCTATGTAACATTTTCTGTTAATCGAAACTTTGATAATAGATGAACAAAAATAAAACAATGCCAGGGATATAGCTCAGTAGAACAAGTACTTCCCTGGCAAGCACAAGGGCCTGAGTTCAATCCCTGGTTCCAAAAGAAAAAAAGAACAAACAGAAATAAAACAAGCCTGTCAAATTTTATATCCAGAATCTAGAATTATTTGCTTAAACTACTTTTAGTGTCTACTATACTTAAAGTGTTACAAAAAAAAAGGCTTGCACCAAAGCTCTAGTCTTGAACCCAACTGTAATTCTAAAGTTACACCGGCACTCATGTAGCAAGGTTCATTTGGTACAACTTTATTTTTCAGTGATTATAAAAAAAAGAAAATCTTTAATAAACATTTCAAAAATAAAGTTCTGACTTCCTATGATTAAACCTTAATTTCAGCAAGGCATTCTGTAGAGGATACAATATGCTTTATAAAATATTTCATGCAACTACTTTTATAAATTAATAGGTATCCTTTCATTAGAGAATCTCGTAACAGAAATTCTGAAATATAATAAAGATTTAAAGGCTCAAAATTGCAACCAAATTCTGAGTAAATATGTTTCCAATAGCTGTTCTTGTATTATTTTTCTTTATTAATCAGCACAGTTCGTAGGGCTGCTTGTGGAGACGCAGTATTTTCCTCCCACAGGCCAATCACCATTCCCATGCACACTTTGATTTCATGTCCTTGAGAAATACCAGCCAGTGTAATAAATGCTGCTGCTGATGAAGAGATTATGTTACTTAAAATTCTTCATGACTCTGGAGCAACGCAGTCTTCGGCTGCAGGCTGGCACGAGGCCAGCGTTCATACTGAGAAGTAGATGCGTTCCACGCGTCGTGGTAGGCAGCTTCCTGAATTCCCACCCTCGCAGTTACAAGTCTCTGTCTCTGAGACCCTTCCATCAGAGAGAGAATTCTTTCCATCCACAGCTTCCAGACTTAGGTCTTAGACTTCACATTTAAAAGGTATAGAGGGGCAAAAAAGCATTCGCAACTCAACCAGCAGGGTGAGCTTCGCTTATACTGGAATGGTAGTAGCACCTCCAATACAGACTTTGGAATGAGTTCTTTCGAGATAATAGGAAGAAAATATGAGGACCAGAAAAATGGGTGCTGCCTGAGGTCTGGAGCATGGTAAATATGTAGGCCTGCTGGAGTAAACTCACCTTACAGTGACCTTCCTGAAATTATTACTCTCATTCTATTTTACGAGATAGAATCACAAAAGTGTGCCCATCCTGTCATGATGATTTGCTTTCTATGGTACAATGTTCATAGATCTTATTAATAAATAGAGAAGTCTCGGGCAGGCACTTGCAGAGCCAGTTACATTTGGAGTTTCCTGGAGCACACAAAATTGTGAGCTTTGCCTTTCCTACAGTTCTTCGTTTGCCATTTCCATGGTCTTTGAACCAAAACACAGTTCCTTCCAAACTTAGAGTGTTGCGGGGGTCCTCTCTTCCACATGGTGAAGGTGACAGGTTCGCCACCAATCCACTCCCAGCGGCCAGCTTGCTCTTGGTCATTCAGACCTAGCGGGACCAAAAGAATGTCCTAAAAGGTTTTATTACATTCATATTTAGATAGCAGGTCTATTCGCTTGTTCTAAGCACAAATTAGTGTGGGGCCAAGTTCCACAACAGATAACAGAATCAGAAAACACCACAAAACACAATGAAGAGTATAAAGTTTTGGTGCCCAGTAGAGCTAAGTCCTAAGTCTAACTACTTGTCAGCTGGCTGCCCTGGGCACTTAATTTACCCTCTCTGAGCCTTACTTTTTCATCTAAGAAATGGACACAGTGATAGTACATGTAAGACTCTTTCAAGGATTTCATTAGATAAAGACAAAAGAACTCTTGGCATACCTATGTGTTTAATAAGTGACAGCTACTGTCATCCCTACCATCCCACAGGCAGAGCTCCTAAAACAGGGAAGTGAGCAGCCCCTTATCCCTGGTTCTTCTGCTTTATTATTTAAATGTCTTAGTTTTCCTATTTGAAAGGAGGTTGCAGTGCATTCCCTTTTAGTCTGGAGCTTAAGATGTTTGCGTCTCCTACAATTCGATGGAAAACAGCTTTTCACTCCATCCCGCTTTACTCCCACTGACAATTTGGGCAAATTACTCTTTCATGCCGCAAAGCTTCCATAATGTTTTCTTAAAGAGGCATTTCCCCTTCCCTCCCACGCATAGTAGGAAGAAAGGTAGGATGAATCCTCTTCAGTGGTATGACCTGACATCTTGACACTCAGGTGATTTGACCCTGTCCTGACCGCACAGCGTATTCTCAAATGACACTGTCAATATTTTGGGGTAAAAGCAACAGAAATATTTTTAGTGCCGAATGCCTCCTTTTCTTCTGGATTGTTTACTGGAATTACCAATCAAATAATACTACGTCTAAGTACTTTGTGAAAGCAAAGCCTTAAGCTGTCAGGAGACATTAAAAAAAATTATTATTACAATCAAAATTAGAAAATACTGAAGTCTTCAGCAACAAGGAACAAAATTAAGAGCAGCTATAACTGCGTTCCAGATGAATCCTGGCTCCTTCTCTGGCATATGTCTCTGTGTTATGTATACTTCACACGCACTCAAGTTGAATGCCTTCGCTTGCTTGCTTTGCTGTCCTGGGGACTGAACTCAGGGTCTCCGCCCTGGACAGCACTCCCACGCCTTTCGTGCTTTGCCTTGAGACGGAGTCTCACTAAGTCCCTAAGGCGACCAGCCTGGGTCCAAACGCGTGATCTCGAGCTCCAACCCCCAGAATGCTGGGCCCGGGCCTTTAGGCATGCGCCACCATGCATAGCTTGAATTTCTTTTTTTATTCTAAATGATTTCATACTTCATGTAACAGAGGACTCTGCTTATTTTTACAAATGCAGTGGGTTAGCTTTTATATAGAATATACCAATTTAGTTTTGAATCAATAAATACACACATAAGGCATTTTGTCATGCTCATAATTGCTAATGCCTTATAAAAGCATTAAATATTTTTATATGGCCATGTTATAATTTAACCATCCCTAATAACACATGTTACAATTTAGAAATGTCATTCTCTTGAATTTTCTTAGCTATCAATCTAACCACATCTCTATATTTTGGAGATAGGTGTCAAAAAATGAAAATATGTGTCAAAAGGTTTAAGGTGAATTTTCTTTCGGGGGCTGGGAACTGAACCCAGGGGTTGGCACGTACTGAGCGCCCGCTCTTCCACTGAGCTGCACCCCAGTGACCCAGAAGACGGACGTTTAGACTAGCCACGCAACCTGCCCCTGTTGTGATAGGCCACAAGCGTTCGGCCCGCGGAAGCCAGTGGTAGGCGCGCCCGTCCCCCGCCCTCCTTTTCCGAGGTGCGCCCGCAGGTACTTGCCGATCCAGAAGGGCTTCCTCCCGCTCCAGTCCCAGAGCCACCGCATGTGCTGCCTGGACAGCACCGTCGCGAGGTTTCCCAGATGTCTGCGCACAAGCAGAGGAGAAGCAAGGTCAGCGGCGGGACCGCGCGCCGCTCACAGCGAGCAGGCACCAGGTAGGAGTCAGCCGGCCGGCCGCGAGGGGCACCTGCGCGGGAAGAACCTCCCACGACTTCAACACTCGGGCTTTACGCTCCTACGTCTGTGCAGGGTGGACGGAGGTGACCACAGAGAAGGGTTCTCTCCCCCTCTTTTAAATAAAATCTGAGCTTTAGGGTATAGTTCAACACATTTTGAACATCTTATTGGAAACCTAGCAAGTGCCTAGTTATGAAGATTTATTAATCCATGCCAAAATGTTACTTGTCTCTAAGTGTTTCCTAACTGACATACATTTGGCAGTTATACAGTTAATTTGATCTGTAAGATAACCCAGTTGAGCCAGAAAGATAGCTCAGTGGCACAAGCGCCTGCCTGGCAAGCACAAGATCCTGAGATCAATCCCCAGTATTGGAAAAAAAAAATTAAAACTAAATGATTTGAAATCTAAATTTTGAAATTGACATGTTTAGTAAAATAACAATATTTAGGACCCTTTTATTATATTCAGTGAAATACTCATAACCATATTCAAATCTTCATATATTTTACAGTAGTTAAAGCATCTGTTCTTATAAACACATATAAAAATTTTCCAACAAAATAGAATTCTCTATGAGTAGCAAGAAGCTGAATTATTTCTATAAGAAATATTTGATTGTGTACAATTTCCCTCCAGAGCTTATTAAAAACTTTAAATTTCTAATTAAAAACCCAGGGACAAGGGAGATAGCTCAGTAGAATACGTGCTTGCCTGGCAAGTGCAAGGTCCTGAGTTCAATCCCTGGTACCACAAAAAAAAAAAAAAAAAAAAAAAAAACCAAAAAGATGAAATAAAGAAACTTAAAAACCCAATAGATCATTTTTCATCTTCCTTAAACCAGATTTTGGGGGCCAGGGTGATGGCTCAGCAGAATAAGAGCTTCCCTGGCAAGCGCAAGGGCCTGAGTTCAATCCCCAGTTTAAATAACAATCTTTTTTCCTTAAAGAAGATATATATAGGGCTGGTGAGATGGCTCAGTGGTCTAAAGCACCTACTTAGAACAAGCTTAGCAAAGCACAAGGACTGCGGTTCAATCCCCCAGCACCACATGCCAGCCAGCCCCGCCCCCTGCTGGGCTGAGCGGGCCACACACACACACACACACACACACACATAAATAAATAAATAAAAATTAAAAAAAGAAGATATATATGTATATGTTAGGATAGATATACACTACTTTCTCTTAATTCAGTGAGATTTATACTAATAGTGTTTGCCCAGGATACCATGTCTGCATCTTGAACTATGAATAACTACTACGAAGACAACAATATGCAATGTACTAATTATTGTAACTGTCCTACTAACCTGTTTTGAAACTGTCTCACTTCTATTTGTTTCTCAATAAAATTAATTAACAAACTTAAAACCAAAAAAATTTCAAAATATATCCATATGTGTGGATATATCATAACCATGTATCCCATAAGTATACATCAGTTTTGTTAACTAAATTGAATTTAAAAGAAATAATTTTAATATATGTATTTTTAAAAAACCAAACAAAAATTATGATTTTCTTACTTGGTTAATACCCACTCATATGCAAACAAAGAGAAAACAAAATCAGCAGCATTTCATAAAGGTCGGATAGCTGTTGAACGACGCGTTGTTCATTTTGCCTGTGTCTTTCCAAATTCAGGTCTACTTCTGTGCTTTTGTCAGCTGTTGTGGGTAGTATTTCTCTGATCCTTAGTGGCTGTTTTCCATACTAATTCCACTGCAGCATAGTGGTGCCTTCCAGGCCTCTTGAGACACACAGCACGCCTCTTCCCTCTCCCAACCCCAGTTGCCTGGGCTGCTGGCGCTGGGTCTCAGGATGTGGCTCTGGGCTCCTGCCTTCCCACCAGCTTCTCTCTAACAGCTGCTGCAGGTGAGACGGGGCAACAGGTGAGACGGGGCAGCCGCCTCCTCGCACGCTCACATCCAGTGTGATTGCTCTGTGAGGCAACTGAAGCAAGCGGTGAGCGCTTGGATTAGACTCATTAGAGTAAGACACAGGTCGCCAAGAGCAGCGGGGTGAGCGTGCTCCAAGCAAGGCAAGTAATTGGGGGAGGGTAATGGTACTGTGCCTTTTATTATGATCAAATTTTCAAATTTGGATATTCACTGCATTTTTTTTAATCACTCTTCCACCAAACATTTACAGCAATTTCTGTTAAGTGGAACATTACAATCCTCATCCACTTTATTCATAGGATGTGTCTCTTGCCCAAAATCAAAATGACGATGAAAGATGAACATTTATTCCAGAAACTGAGGCTGCTGCAAGAGCGATAGTACAACTACAGGCTCATAAAGGAGCATTTCCAGAACCATCTCAGAAAGTGGCAAGAATGTGTGTGTGTGTGTGTGTGTGTGTGTGCGCATGTGCACGCGCAGGACAGTTCTGAGGGGGATTCACGGCAACGTATCTTTCACTGTAATACATTTGTCCAATTGCAACATTCACCATATTGCTGGATCGCACTCAGTGTTGTGTTGTGGCCTTAGAATGCAAGATCGGTCACCCGTGCTGTAAGCAGGCGGAGGAGGCACCAGGGAGGGTGGGAGACGAGGGCTTGTCTTCCTGTTCTGCTTCTCAGGGCCTCACACAACTCCTGAATTCGCTGATTAAACTCTTATTTTGGCTGAGGTTCACCGTCCTCACACCCTCAACTTCAGTAATACTGATTATACTACAAAATTTCTATTTGCTCATATACCTATACAGTGCGGTGGGTATTATCTATTCAATATTAACATGTATCTACTGATATAAAATGAGAAACGTATAGATACTAATATAAAAATAGAATCCTTTCATAGTTCTGAAATGTGAAGGCATTCAAAGTATAAAATTAAAAACAGAAACCTGGCTCTAGCAATACACATCTACTTCTTTGAAAGTCTTCAGTAAGTCCCAGTACATTTCAGGGCAACTCTTTAAGGTTAGCCAGCAGGGGCTCCAGACACTGCTGGGAGAAGACAACGTGGTTTCACAGATAATGATCTATAATAATAGAATTACCAAATGTACAGTGACTGTCTTAGGAAATAAGCAGATGAGATTACAGTATGTAAATTCAAGAAATGCCTACTCTAGCAGTCTGGCTCCTTTGGGTTAGAAAAATAATACAACAGCAATGAGGAGGAAAAGAGATTGGAGATAAAGACTGAGTTGGGTTAGTAATCTGATTAGGAACAAGGGATAAAGGGCAGTGGCCCTCTGTGAGGACTTCTGGGTATGGACCCTGGATAGAGAGCCCCAGGAAATCGCAAAGAATTGAGTAATGGCTCCCAAAGCCAAATCAAAAACATCCTGTGGCACACTAATTCCAATGATAGAGCTTAAAACCATCTTCTAAAATGTCTGATAAGATGGTAAATCTGCAGGCTATAAAATGTTAAATTATACTAGAAAATCTTACTTTTAGTTTTCAAAGGTATGTTTGCTAAGTATGAAATTCAAAGAGAACAGATCATTTCTTTCGGTCCTTTAATCTAGTTTCTTATACCCTTGGTTCTTTTTTTTTCTTTCTAATGTGGAATAAGATGCTATTTAATTTTGTTCTTCCATAGCTAATATTTTTATGTATATGCTTTAATGATTTTCTTTACAAGAAATTTTGGACAATTTCATTTTTGTGCATCTTGGTATGATTTTATTTAAATGTCTTGCAAAAGGTTCATTTTTCTTGGAAATGTGGTATTATAAGTTGAACCAAATTCAGAAATTTTAAATCTTTAAAAAAAAAATACTTGAAGCTATTATTTGAAGCAAGGTACAATTCCCCTATGATGAATGCTATCACTATGTATATATAGGAGCCGGAGAAGATGGCTCACATAGAATAAGCACTTGCCTGGCAAGCACAAGGGCCTGAGTTCAATCCCCGGTTCTCAAAAAAAAAAAAAAATAATAATAATAATAATAAAATAAAAAGAAAGAAAAAAAGAAATTCTACTATGTATATATAAAATGTACCAATAAAAAAAATTCAAGGAAAAAAACTGTTAAATTGTGATCTTCACCTCACAGCGGAATTGACAATCCCCGAAGGAGTACGCACCCAGTGGGGGAGGGGGGAGAACGAGGACTGTGAACTAGAAAGTAATGGGTGAGAAAAAGGAGGGCAGAGAGTGACTTTAAGGTACACTGAGTGGGCAGAGAAGGACTTGGGGCTCAGAGAACGCTGGCACTGAGGTGGTACCCTTACCACCCAAAAATTCTCCTCCTAAAGTGATTGGTCCAAAGCTAGAAGGTGATTTTCTATTTTCCTTTTAAAATCTGCTGACAGATATTTTCTTAAATGTCTGTGACGAGTGGTACAACTGTGATCATTCTACTTGCCCTAGTGAAAGAAAATGCATATTGAAAAATATGCAAATGCAATCAAATTAAATGTTTATATTTATTTATTTTTATTAAATATTTAAAATCAGAGTTCTGGTAAGATTTAAAAATCTCTGGTTATATGTAAAAATATATTCCAGAGTAAATATGGGAAACTACTTTTATTTATTTTTTATGTATTTATTTATTTATTTTTTTGCAGAACTGGGGATTGAACGCAAGATCTGACACGCAAGCGCTTATTCTACTGAGCTATCTCCCCAGCCCCAGAAATTGCTTTTAAAAAGTTGCAAATGAGCTCTTAAGTAGGTAAACTTTTAAATTAATTTGGGCCTTAAGGAATGATAAAATTGTGTAGTATCAATAGGTCTGGAAAGAAACTGTAACTGTTCTTGCTACTCACCATTAAAATCCCCTCACTGTTAAAAACTGCAATTAGGCGGATCAATAAAATGACATTTTAAAAAATGTTGGGAGCTGGGGTAGATTGTCAATAAGAATGCATCAGCAATATTACTGTCAGTTGCTATTATTTTATAAAAAATGATTGCTAATGGCAAAAGCTAAATGACCATCACCTCACAATGAAGAAGGGAGCCTTGTGCTTACATTTATTGAATGGATGGAAAGATACCTCTCAATGCATGATGTGTTTTATTTTCTCGTAAGTAATATTAAGAAGCAGTGAACACTTCGCTAGAGACCTGCCTAGCTACTTTTCCTCTGAGAACCCCTGAAAAATAAATTGGCAACAAATATCAGCAAAAATTAATCTTGGTAACCTTCACTGGAGTATCTGCACACTTGTCCTTATTTTTGTCCACAGAGAAGCTATAATCTACTTTTAGTGTACTAGTCAGATAGAGTGAAGTTCTATGTGAAAGACCTCCCTTCAAGGAATAAAATGACTAATACTCCTACTTCCATCTGAGCTTTCAATACATTAAAACAAGTTCTAAATGACAGTGAGACATCTTGTCTTTTTGTTGAAGCATGGCTTGTTTTTTAATATATATATTGGAATGCATAAGGTATGATCAAACAATACAGTGAAGGTTCAAGTAAAAAATTTATTACAATAAAAAACATATTGCCATTAATTATCCGCAAAATACTATTCTTGTTCCAGCACACTTATCACCACATTTCTGCTGTCTTCTGACGCAGTTCTGGAAGTTGTTTCTCATGAGCGTCTTGAGTTGCCCTGTCATGGCCGCCCCAGGTCCTGAATCAATGCAAAGCATCAACCGTTCAGGTTCACTTGGACTTTAAGGAAGCACCAGATACTGCATGATGCCAGCACTGGTGAGAACAGGGTGAGAACATTCTGCGGTTTTTATTTGACAGAAATGATGGGCATAAAAGTGTCCCAAGAAATGAGCAAATGATTTCGTCCTCTGCTGTGAAGATGCTGTGTGTCACACGTTGCTCCTGGTTTGGCAACTGCTGTTAAATAAAACTGGTTCAGGACCCTGAGGCAGCCAGGACAGTGACACTAAAGCTACTTATCATGCAATTATTTTGTATTCTTAGCATCTGTTTTTTTCTTGGTTAAAATTCTACCAGTAGAATGGCTGGGCTGTAGGGTATGCCACTTTCTGAGAAGTTGCCAGTCAGTTCCACACAGTGGCTGTACCGTGGTATACTTCCACCAGCAACACATGAGAATTCTGTTTGCTCTGCACCCTGTGACATTTGATGTTGTAATTTTTATGACTTTAACTCTTTAGTGCCTGTGGGCTGGTCTTTCACTGTGATTTTAATTTCCTTTTAAAATTTCCTTTGATTAGTACATGCTTCCAGTATGTAATGTTTGCATCCCTTGTAGGGAGTCGGTACCTGTTCAAAACACACCTTAGTGCCGTTTTTCATCCCCTCCCTTCCCCTCTCTTCCTGCTCTCTCTGTCTCTTGGTTCCCTTCCCCTTTAAGAAAAGTCTCCCTCCCTATTTCCTATTATCTACCTTTGAATTTTCTCTTTATTTATATATTGGGTTTCTCATGTTTAAATATCATATCTAATGTGATATTTGAGATGGTGTGTCTGATATATGGTCTCAAATTCCATCTATTTTCCTACAAATGACTCTAGTTTATCTTTCTTTATGACAGAATAATACTCCATTGTTTACAAAAATCACATTTCTTCATCCATTCATCTGATGATGGGCACAGAAGCTTCTTCCAGCATTTAGCTGCTATGAACTGTGCTGTTATAAACATGAGTACGCATCTGTCACTGTGATGTGATGACTTTCTTTTGGGAAGATACCTAGAAGGGGCATCCCTGAGTCACATGGAATTTGTAGTTTCAGTTTTTTGAGCTGTCTCCATGCTGACTTCCACAGTGGTTGTACTAGTCTACATTCCTATCAACAATGGAGACAGGCTTGCTTTCTCCAGCATTTGCTTTCTCCAGCATTTGCTGTTACTGATTTTTTTTTTTTTTTTTAAACTGGGGATTGAACTCAGGCCCTTGTACTTGCCAAGCAACCATTATTCTACTGAGCTATCTCCTCTGCCCCTTTGATTTCTTGATGATGTCAATTTTTTCTGGTGTAAGATAGAATCTCAGTGCTGTTGTAATTTTCCTAATGTCTAGTGGCTAGACATCAAGCATGGCAAACAAGAAAGAGAGTTAAGAAATGCTACATTATAAAAGTCCTTCTGGGCCGCATAAATTTTGTTGTCATCACCCGACCACAACTTATGTTCCACTGACTATTCTATTACCCAATGAGCCTCTGTCCAACCCGTTAAGCTTCATGAGCACTGGCGCCTCTTATACTGCTAGAGGCCTGATACTGTAAGGCCTGATACTTCTTTATTATACATCTTCAAACCAATGAGCAGGACTTCTACTACATGAAGAAGGAGGACAAGAAGAACAAGGAGAAGGAGCAGAGGAAGAAAAAAGGAGGAGGAAAAGGGGAGGGAGGGAGAAGAGGAGGAAGTAGAAAGAGAGGAGGAGAGAGAGGAGGGTGGAATCAGAACCTACAATGCTGCTGACTCAGACAAGCTCCTATGACTTTCCAAAAACAAGCTGAGATGAAATAAGAAGAAAGAAATGTGACAACAGCATGGTTTTATCAACCAAAAAGAGCTAAGTCAAAAAATGTCAAGGTCAGTCACATACCCATTCTGATTTACAAAACTGCCTTGAAGTTCCTAAAGCAGAGCCAAGCTCAGGGCGCGCTCTGTGCCGGAGGAAGCAGACCTCCTTGAGAAGACAGAGAAACCACGGAAAATGCCCATCCGATGTGACAGGGGCGCCTTACTGTTCCCTGCAGGTTAGCGTAGCTGTGTCCCAGGTGCTTTTCTGCTCTGCAGTCACAGTGTGACAGTAGCCTGAGTGAAGGTGCCATCCAGCAGGGCAGGATTTGTCTTCGACCTCCTGAAAGACAGATGTCCACGTTCGCATCATAATGCACTTTACAATCTAGAGGCTAATCTCAGCACAGGGAGTCCTGTGGAGCTCCTGGCTTTAGGGGGTACTTTTGTCACCAGAGTCAGCCTTATTCCAATTCTCCACTTTGAGAAATGCAATGACTCCCTGCAGAAAACACTGCCTTGGTCAGCAGCTTCAGTGTCATAACTTTGACATTTTAGTAATTAAATAAACTAAGCAAACATCTTAAGTTGTATTGATTGGAGTGCACTGATGTAACAATGCATTTTGTGATTTGGCCTCCCAGGCCTACTGAGGGCAGGCAGATACAGAATGCATTGGCAGGTGCACACCAACTATTCACTCCCCAGCAGCGAGCTGGCCTAAGCCACGTGCAGGGAAGCTGTGTGGCTTCTCAGCCTATGTCCCACCTTGCTTCGGGGGTTCCAGGCTTTCCAGGCAATCCCGTCACACTGATACAGCTTTTGGATGCTTTCGTCAAGATGAAAGAGTCCTTTTAAGTCCATAGTGCAGTTCTTTGGAAAGGAGGGCAACGGACCCTATAGGGAGGAGAGGCGGTTTGAACTGACTTAATGGAAGTGGGTAACACACTTACGTCCTTTGGGTTCCATTTGTTGGGCAGCATTTGCGTTGAGTGAGCTGTCCCTGAGCCTGGAGGTTAGTTTGTGAATTAAGTGTGTTGATAGCCCAGCAAACAGTTTGCTATGAGGTAAATATGAAATTTCATACCTGTCTGGGGAAGTGAGAGTCAGGTGTGTATTCTGCCTTATCTGCTTGGGGCAGCCCTGCCACCGGTGGTGTCCTGACTTTGACCGTCTTATTGTGACTTGGGAAACTGCTGTCCTCCAGTTTCAAGGAAACCATCCCGTGATACTTAAGGAGACCAGTAAATGCAATAATAAGGGAAACATCAAGATAGAGAATGAAAAAGATTTATGAAAGTGATCAGTTCAAAAATCGTATCTGAGCAAAAAGATGAAAGGCTTTTTTCCTCACCATTCAATCTTCTCAAACAAATTATTAAAAAGTTAGATAAACACATTTATAAAACATTGCACTAAATATTTTCATGCACAAACCCAAGAAATTCAGCAATTATTCAACTGTGCTTACAGTATAGGTGATGTCTGTTCCATTTCTGTGAACAGAGGATGGGTGAACCTGAAATCAACAAAGGACAATAAACGCCGTAAACAGTAACTATGAGCAGGAGGGCAAACCCTTCCATATGATTTTAAGAACTGAAAAAATTTGAACATGTTTCTTAAGATATTTTCCTGCCCAAATCATTAGGATTTTATTTTTAATTATTTCATTGGTACATTTTAGGTACACATAACAATCACGTTCATCAGAGAATTTGCACCTGTGCATGACAGAGCTTGTTTTTCCCCTTTCCCCTCCCTGCCTTCAAACTCTCCTCCCCGCCCCATTAAACAAGCTTTGTTTTCATGTTTTCCTTCTTCTCTTATTTAGTTTTTACTTTTTCCTTCTCTCCTCTCTTCCTCCCCTCTCTTTGTCCCTCCTCCCTTTTAAACCTTTTTTTTTTTTTTTCCTATTTCAAAATACATTTTGGTTCTTATTTGCACTTCTGGTTTCTCACACTGGAGAAAATCAAGGGAATTTTAAACAGCGCTAGGTCTAATCGCACTGATAATTGTGTTAATTCGTGCACACGCAGCTCCAAGGTAGGGAGAAAAGATTTCCTCACTTCTTAGCGCATCTATAGCGCACAAAGTTTCAAGAACACACATGTGTAATTACAAGAGTATGCTTTGCTGGAGTGCTGGCCTGCGACAAGCCAAAGCCATGCTGGTCTCCATTCCCAAATGGATGGCTCACTTACTTTCTTTTCATCTGGGGTCCCTGGTATTGTCCTGTGCATCTTGATGACAAAAGGAAAGGAGCAGCGATCGCACCAATGAATCCATATTGCTATCACTTCCACTAGAATATGTAATGAAGCGGGCAGCAGCGCAGACTTTGTGTGCAGAAGGCGCCGCGTGATCCTGCGAGGAGCCAGGGCCCCACTCGCTCGGGGCCTCCTACAGCTTCCTCCCTAGCTCAGAATACTCACTATGACCGTGTAGCCAACAGGCCCACCTCCAGAAGGTCCCCACCTTACCACTTTGCCATTCCCACGGGTTCTAAGCTTCCTAGGAGACAGAGCTGCAGAATCAAAGCCCCGCAGGGTGTCTCCCCTGGTGACTGGAAGCTTCTTGGAAGATGGAGGGGGTCTTCCTTCCAGATGCAGGGAACCAGAAGTGATGGGTGAGGAAGACCCGGGGGGCAGTGGGTGCCAAAGGCCCCTCTCTGGTGAGTTGTGCTTGCTTTGGCTGAAGGGGTGTGAAGGATGGCACCGTCCTGGAGGCAGCAAGATGGCAGGCGGTCAGCGCGACGCACACAGAGACGAGGGTGTGTTGACACCGCTTCTAGAGCAGCTTGTCACTAAGCATAGATGGATGCGCTCCCGCCAGATGTTGCCCCTGCCATTGCCAGCCCCTCCTTCACTCCCGGTCAGCTTCCATCCAGGCAAGCGGACTCCTCCGCACACTCACGGGGAGATCAGAAGTGGCAAAGCTGATTTCACAAACGCACAATGACAACCATCGTCGTGGTTTTATGATCATACTATATACTTGGGAACTGTTCAGTTGCTTTCCTTGATCAAATACTGTTCCACAAGCACTTCAAAAATATTTGGTTTTTCCCTGACCTTCTGGATGTATAGATTGGAGGGATCTTTTTAAGATGCCACAGAAAGCAAGTAACAGTTATAACAATTTGCACTCAACTGTTACAGAACAAACTGCTTCCATAGGAAATCTAGCCAGTGAAGAATATTTCAGTGATGGCAAGGAAAAAACTAATGTCAGAACCATCATCTCACCATTTTATTTTATATTTTATTTTATTTATTTTTTGGTGTTGGGTTCAAAGCCAGGGCCTTGCACACGCTAGGTAAGCCCCCTATACTGGTACCTCCCCAGCCCGGGATATTCTATATTTCATATATCAGGCACATATTTCACTCATTTTGTATGCTCAGTGGGACCAGAAATTTCTACTGGAAAGGAAATAAACTTAGTGAAGAAAGAGGTGGAAGACTGAGGAGCTGTGGAAACACGGAGACTTCCTAAAGGAGCCAGCAGGTCCCAGACAGGAAAGAAACACGGACCGCCGGGCATGGCAGCTATAAACACTGGGACATAAAATGGAGCCCAGGACTGGACATTTGTCAAATGCTAAGCAGACAAAGACGAGAAGGGATTTGGCAGAAAGGACTGGGCACAGCGAGAGCACTGGCTGGCTTTACGCTGAGCGCTTCTCCGGCTGCTCCTCAGTATACACTTCTCAGGCTTGCTCGCGCTGCCGCCCGAAGTCGTTCATTAACACCGTCCAGCTGCTCTTGTTCCCGGGGCCAGCTGTATCTTCACCTCTTTTTTTTTTTTTTTTTTTCTCTCCTGCTCTTTCCCTTAGAATTTTCCTGGTTCCCTACAGCAGGGCTCGGGTTGGAGGCACTGAGAGCTCTCTTTAACAGAGGAAGATAATTACAGCCTTGCAAACTCTCAGGGAAAATAATTGTCCCTCGATTCTCACCAACATCGCTTCCCCCTTGGTGAGAACAACAAACGGCTAGGAGAAAAACAACTTTGGCTGACTTGTTGCTTTTCTCCAGAGCTAGCTCTTAGCGGGAGGAAAGCCACATGAAGCAGAGACGGGAATAAAGGCCTGCATCGTGACGGAGGCTGCTTTCTTGACAAGAAATTAAGCATTTTGATTTGAAGGCGTTATCAAGCACATTGGCTGCTGAAAGCAGGCAGCCAGAGCGCCAGGACTGCTCCTGATTTCAAGATGAGGATCAAAAGAATACCTCCTTTTGAGTCCAAAATTTTCACTACAGCTTTTGTCTTTGTGCCAAGAACGGCATTCACGGGGGAGTTCAGAATTACTTCAAAGACCTCATCGTCTTCCTCTAATCCGTCATAGGTAATTGCTATATTCCACATCTTAGTTGACATTCCTACAAGAAGTAAACATTTTAATTACTCTTTAATTGCTATTTCAATCACCTAGGTGTCAGAGAAATATATTAATTAACATGTCTACAGTTAGACTGCTATAGCCTGAGTGAGCTATTGTACTGCCACCAACTCGCTGACGTCTTGCTGTTCTCCCAAATAACGTGAAAGACCACAGCAGCATTTGCTCCCGGACAATGATGACGCCCTTTCAGGGCAAACACTGTAACAAAAAGCAAGCTGCGCCATGCAAGGGGTGAAAAAAAATCCTTAGTAGATGAGCTCTGAGACAGAATTTTTCCCCACCTGTCCCTTCTCTTCTTAAGAATAAACAAGTACTACACTTTTAAAATCCTCATAGTTTCAAAACTCTTAAGATGCCGATGCAGACAGAAGTGATTATTAGATGGCACTTGACGCTATTCACGGAACCCTTGAAATGATTGATTTCTGCAGACAGCTGCCTGCACTGGCTGCCCCGCTTCCTGAGGCTCTTCCTGCCACAAATGTGTCTTCTGGTGGTGTAACACTCGGCAGTCTGAGCTCCTCCTGGGGAGAATTTATGGGCCAGGGGTTCTAGAAACACACGCAGCCCATTCATCCTCCACTTTCTGTCTGTCTCTATTCATGGAGTCATAGTCAAGCTTGGTATGAAGTAACGCTGTGGCCTTAGCACAAGCAGTTTTGAGCTACTAGCACAGCCCAGTCATGCCGTGGCCGGAGGCAGAGCAACCGCACAGGCGCACAGTGTTAAGAATGGAAGAAACTTCTCAGGTGTCCTGGTCCCAATTGAGCGTCCCAGTGTGCATCACAGAACTGTCCCCTTAAGTTTATTCAGAAGAAAAAGTGGTGAGAAATAGAGAGAATGCTGATTAGCAGTGAGAAAAGGCTCGAGCTAAAGGGGAAAGATGGTAAATTTACGCTTGAACCTTGCTGTGCTAAGTTCGAAATGCTTTCTCTGCATTTTACTCATTGGCTCTTTGAGAGCTTTCTGTCTCATAAATCTTTCTATATAAGGTAGTTAAACACTTTTTCCAAGACTTTTCTTCTGAAAATATGACTTGTTTTTCCTTGCAGAGTGCCTTTTAGAGATTTATGCCTCTCAACTCTGCCATCCCTGTGACAGCCTTGTCTATTTTCCCCTGGTGACAGGGTCTCATTATTTCAGTCCAGGCTGGCCTTGAACTTTTTATGTAATCCAGGTTTGGCTCAAACTTGTGGTCCTCCTGCCTCAGCCTCTTATGACTTGAGATTACTGGCATGTGCCACCACATCCAGCTAATGGCTTCATTTTTAAAGGCAAATCTTTTAAATCTCATGATCTAATTGAAGACTCAACCTCCACTAGAATCCAGTGCAAAGATGAAATCATAAACTTATCCTACAGAGGAAAAAAAATCAGGTGTATTTGGATTAATGACATTTAAAAATGGCTCAATAGTTTGCTCATTAAGCTTTCAGTATGGAGTCTCTTCCCAATTCAATTACTTTTACATTGCTTGCAAAAGCAGTAGAAGCATCTATTATAAAATTCCATATAATTTCCATCTCATGGATGAACAAACTCAATCCATCAAAACACGTTTCGACTCAAGTGCTTACCTTGCACTAGATATTGTGGAGAACTCTAAACTCAGATGCCAAACTCTGCCCTGAAGGAGTATAAAACTTCTTGGAGGAGGCAAGACAAATAAAGTCACCTCTGTGTATACACAGAGGACTAATCTCAGCGCTCCCTTCAGATACCAAGTCTGCAGTGAACTGTCAGGCCCTGCGTATACGACTTAAAGATATCTTCCCACAAGTTTTAACTTGTCTCTACATCGCTTATAATACCCAATGCTATGTCAATACTTGTTTTACAATGTTTTTCAAGTAATTAATGATAACAAGAAAGTAAAACTATGCATATTTAATGAAGACACAATTATTTTTTATTTGTGGTTGCTTGACTAGATGGATATAGACTCTGTGGCTGTGGGGCTCTGATTGTACCAGAAAGATGGGAGACTATCCAAAACTGTGTGTGAGATGCACATCAGGCAGCATGTGCCATACACGCACGGGACGCAGAGGTGGAGGGATGAGGCAATGAGAAAACAGCATAAGCAAATACGGGAAGAAAGGGCTCTTGGGACATGAAGGTCACTGAGGTGGACAGGAGGCCACAGGCTGCAGAATGTTTCTGCAGGGGGACCTGGACACCAGGTGGCTGTAATTTCAATGAAAGGCAATAGGGAAGAGAAGGAATGACACTCAGAAGGTGGCTATTTTAGCAAAATGAACTTTAGTCACGTGTGCAGGGTTGGGCATCCAAGTGGACGGGCACTTGCTGACAGAGTCCACAAGCTGGAAGACTACGTAGGTGGCTGTCACACTAAAATTGTCATGAAGAAGAACTTGTCAGTAAAGGAAGCACACAGATACTAAGATTGTTAGTATTTGAAGAAAAACATTTTGATCCTCAAAAAACCATACAGTTAAGCATTATTTAAATAAAAATCCAGTAAACATTATTTCTAAGCCCCCAACTAATTTTTCTTTTAATAATTATTATGTAAAAATTATAGTATCACTTCCCCTAAAAAATTTTTAAAAACTTTTGCTGCATCCTGTGGAGTTGAACCAGATGGTTAGAGAAATCCTGACTTTCCGTTAAATGCTTCTGCTTTATTCATCTGCATTTCAACTTGGTGTCTCTGCCTGCCAGGTGTGAGGCTTAGGTTAATGAGATTGGAAGTGAGGTAATTGTTGTGGCTGTTGTTGTTTTTCCCTCTTCCTCTTGACCTTCCAGAGAGCCAAGTATTTGTTAATAACCTGAGATATACCTGCATTCTTAGAAGGCTTGAACTGCCCTGTTCCCACTTACTATAAAACAAAAGGTGGCCAAGAGGAGAGAGAAGTTCTATTTTGTACAGGCATATCCCACTCTACATAATAGATGAATTCCTAGCTATTTTCCTGCAAAACGGATTTCCCTGTTGAAAGACATTTTCTCTCTCTTTTTTTTTTTTTTTTAGTAAATGCCACATTAGAGATTTTTTTCTTTGGGAAACATTTTGACTCTTGGGAATGATAAAGTTTCAATTAAGAATGTCACAAATCTTTTGAGAACACATATTTTAAAAGAAAACAATCATTTTCTAAAAAGTACTTATACATGCATCTAAGTTTAGTCACAGTAGCTGAGTGCTGTGTAGGCAGGATTTGTGGTTTGGTACAAGAGCTGCAAGCCTTTAGGCCTAGTGTTCTCCAACCCTGTAAAATCCCACTATCATTGATCGCTCTCTGTTTCTTCAAGATCATGGATGCTGGGCTGAGGAAATAGCTCAGCTGCCCAAGTGCCTGCCTAACAAGCACCAAGTCCTGTGTTCAATCCCTGGTGCAGTGTGCGTGCACACACACAAACACACACACACAGAAAGAGAGCGAGAGCGAGAGCGAGAGCGAGAGCGAGAGCGAGAGAGAGAGAGAGAGAGAGAGAGAGAGAGAGAAAGAGAGAGATCATGGACTCTGATATGGTTAGAGAAAGGAACAAACCTCTCTGGGTGAAAGGGCTGGGAGTGATGCTGGAGAGACCACACACAAAAGGAGTACAGATTAGCATGACAGAAGGGTAACAACATTTGCTGGGCCTGTGGACAGGGGACATTCTAAACTTCGCTAATGTGACATTTTAGGTTGCTCAAGTGGTTTCTGGCTTTAAACATTCTAAAATAAATATCCAAGCATGTTTTTGTTTTATGAGATATGCTTATATTATTTTTAAAATGTCTAAATAATCTCTAATTAGAAGACTATTTACTGCTCCCAGAAGTTATTAGTACCTACTCAGAATAGCCTATAAGCTCCTCTAGATAGATTCCGGGGGCATCTCTGTGAGCTGGGTTTCGAAGCCTTCCCCAGTTCCTATCAATCTAAATAGAGCACCTAGTGTATTGTTGACACCCCAACAAAAAGCAAAAATCACCCCTGATCTTGTAACAGACATTAACAGCAGGAAGAACCTACAGCAAAGACTTGGTTCACAAGATGGAGAGGCTGGCAGCATCTTAAGATAAAGGTAGAAACGGTCTTGATGCGAATGTGTGCCCCTTCCCAATACAGAGGACCAGCACCCGAAATGCCTGCCAAAACCTGAGGGGAACATCAGATTCAGCACGTGATCGGCACCTCCCACAGAGCACGGTCAGGACGACAAACTAGCTCACCAAGTTCAACAGTTAAGCACCAAGAGAGGCACAGTACAGTGACACCTTGGTTCAAACCTTAATTTGTTTCATGTTCTAGAAAAGATGGCCACATCTGTGGTCCTGCAGGAAAGACGGCTGTGGTCGTGTTCATACTCGACGCAGAGTTGGCAAAGAAAAAAAGCAAAAGCTTTGCCAAACGTTTCTGTTTGCCGACTGTGGTCCATGAACTGAGGGACCCCAAGAGTCACACTCATGGGTGTTAAATTGAGGGCTCACCTGTACACACTAAACTATGTCCCTCAAGAGTTTTTATGTTGAAGTTCTAACTCCCACTGCTTCACAGTGCGACCGCATAAAAACAAGCGCCAGTGCAACCAGTTATTGAAGATACATGCGCAGCGGAAGGTCCTTCGTCTGCTGCGGCGGGTGTCCTTACAAGCAGGGGAGGTTTGTCGGGGGCTATGTACTCAGGGAGGGTAGCACGCCAAGAAGAGACGCAGACTGGGGCGACAAGGCAGAGGCCAAGGGAGAGCCAGAAGGACAATCTCTAGAAGCATGGGAGAGGCCAGAATAGGCTCTCTGTGCCCTACCCACACCGAGTTCCTCAACTTGCAGCCTTAAAACCTGTGAGACGATAAAGCATCTTGATTTTTAAGCTACCCGGCAGGTCGTGCTTCGTTAATGCCATGCTCAACTGTCGTGCTTCTAGTAGAGGGGGACTGTGTAGAAAGGGCTCATGTCTGTTTAATACTAAAATGGTGCTGATTGTATTTAGATCATTTTCTTTTGCTTTTGCCACAAATTTTATATTTGTAGTGGCAAGATTGGTGGAATGTTCTTAGAAGTCAGAACATCTCCTCTGAAGGGAAACACAACCCTGTAGGCTCTAGCTTCTATTGAAGGGTTTTACCACTCACCCCAAGACAGGCGATTAGGTCTATTTCTGCTCCACAGAGCAGTGAGGTGGAGCTGCCTGCCCTTCTGCATAAGCCAGGGAGAAGGATGAAGTCCAAGCTCAGCACCTGGCACACTTCCCCAAAACAGCCACTGCTTTCAGACTGGGGTTTCAAGCTGAACTTGCCTCCTTCTCCCTGCTACATACTGCCTCTGCTGGGAAGCCCTGTGGGATTCTCTCTAATCACAGCAGTAGCTCATCCTTTGGGTCCCCAAGGACTGTTGGCAGGTAGCTTCAAGTCTACACATCTGAGAGTGCTGGCCAAATAGCTCAGCAGATTAAAGCACCTGCAAGCAGGCACAGGGGCTGGGGGGTTCAATCCCCAGGCCTGCCATGCTGGACCTGCCCCCGGGGTGCACTGAGATGACAATTGAGACTGGACGTGGTGGCACACACCTGTAATCCCAGCTCTTGGGAGGCTGTAAACAGGAGAATCACTACAAGTCCAATCTAGTAGAGAGACCCTGAACACCCTGAGACCCGTCCCTAAAATAAAAAAAAAAAAATAGTCTACACGTTACACAATACAACATTAGAAATTCCTTGGGAGAAGGCACCACTCTGTGTGTGTGTGTGTGTGTGTGTGTGTGTGTGTGTGCGCAAGTGTGCATTGTGCCCGTGTCCTAGGGATCTAACACAGAACTGGCGCATCGTAGGCAAGCGTGCTAGCACTTTGCCGCTGGGCCTCATCTCCAGTCTGGCACTGAATCTTTGCATTCCCTTCTGCACCTAGCTGAAGTTTTCCACAAATTTAAAACAAAGTGAACTTTCTTAGACTAAATAATAATTTTCCCTTGTCTCAAGCTATTTCAAGAGGGATTGTTTAGAAATTCCCTGTAAGAATCCATGTAAATATCCTGAAAAGTCCCATTAATGTATGTGGCAAGGAAATTATTACAACTTTATATGAGGACTTTAAATATTTTTTTCTGGACAGTTTTGATGGTTGCTTTGATATTTTATGTTTATTAATTTTTATGACTTTTTCTATCTTAAAAACATATTCGCTTTAATTAAAAAAAAATAGGGGTGCCAAATGTCAGGTCTAAGCTCACCTCATGCCGAGTGGGTGACAGCCCCTGAGGAGCCCCTCACTGGCTGCCGCTGCATAATATCCTGGCTTTGCCCGTCACCAGACTTGTTTATAAAAACACGAAACACACAATAGACACAAAACATACCTGTGTCAAACTGAATCAATTTCGATGGAGTCACGGTAAAATCTTTTCCAACTGTAGCTGACACTTGGTTGACCTTAAGGGAAAATAAAGTCTTTTTTTAAAAATAAAAATAAATATTCTATAATAAAGAAACATTTACTAGACTAAACTTGGGGTTCCTAAATCTGTTTTTAATATTAAGTAAAGTTTTTAAAAAAATTTAACAAACCATTTTAGACGCACGCTACATAGATTTTTTCCTAAGGTTAACTTTCTGCTTTTCCTTTTTAAATGATTCAAGCTTTGGAGAAGGCAGTATAAATTTTAAAATTTTATTTTTCTGTCTTATGAGCACAGTTTTATTTCATTACCTTCCCTCTATTCCAATTTGATTCTAAAAACAACAAAGAGGGAGGTAAAGAGAGGAGAAGAGGAGAGGAGAGTCCCTCCTGGTGAGCCGGTGGGCTAGGCGGGGTCCTGCAGCTCCAGGGCCCTGAAGCCCTTAGACCGGAGGAACCCAGCAAGTCTGCTCCATTTCCTGCCTGGGTGGAGCCTCCGCTCTTCCCAGACCTGAGCGAGAGCTCTGTGGAACTGACAACCTGGTGACCAGTGGTCCCCACCGAGGATACAGGGCTCCTCCTGAGAAAGCTGTCAAAAGCGCACATGGCTGGGGGTCTAAAGAGACCACATGCTACTTCCCATCTGACCCCCGAAGGGTGCCCACGTGGGTGCTAGCACGTGTCCTTGGCTGCTATGGAAAAGAAGCCATCAGTGAGATTCTATGGAGGCACAAACGGTGGCTGTTACTTTGCACAATCTTTAGAACCCTGAGACGGTCAAGAAAGTGGGTTTACATAGTTCAGCATTTTCTTATAAAGGAGTGGAATGCATGTACAGTTTCAAACTTTAGAATCCTTCTTCGCATCGTCTCAGACAGTGACTCCACTCCAGTCCAAGGCTCTAACTGGGGTTAGCAATCTACAGTGGAAACACCTTGCTGCGGCTGTCACCTCCTCTCCTCCATTTGCTCTCTGCTTGCCATGCCAAGGCCCCCCACACTGCCTTTCATTGGGAACGGGAAGCCCACTGTACACCTGCCCCCACCATATGCTAGAGGTTATTTTTCCCTGCGTGGTTCTCACACATGCAATTACATAGTATTTACCCCCGCCGAGTTTACAGAACCCTACGTGGGAAAAGCCACAGGCAGGCCGAGGCAAGGTATTTGGAGAAATCAACCAGGGAAAGGTGCACAATCGAACCCTAGGCAAACAGCATGGGATGAAAGTACCTCCCTGTTTCCCTGTTCCTGGTCAAGTGGGCAACGAACTCTAGTAGCAGGTGGCAGACTGTGCTCTAGGTAGTGTTCTGCAAGGACGGGGAGGCTGTTTGATGGAGGCCTTCCCAGATATACACAGTTTCTTGTTTCTTTCTGCCCAGCAAGATGAACAGCAGTACAGCCCCACATCCCCACCAAAGCACGCAGTGCTTTCAACTGGGAACCAGGAGATTATTAGAAAGCTACCCAGGGAGATTCTTCCCTTTTCCATAGCCACCTCCTGGAAAGCTATTGTGCATCTAAGGTTTTTGCTGTTTTAGTAACAATAAAGCACCAAAGTGTCTAGGACAACGAGCACCTCCACTCACTGAGAGGGAAATTTTGAGTCTAGCTATGGTAGAATTTAGGTGCACAAGGTTCTTCAGGTGATTTGAACGCACTATCATAATTGAGACATAGCAGATGTGCCAGCTCCCTCAGAGGCTTTTATCTGTGTCTTTTTCATCAAATTGAGGAGGAAAGTCCCTAAGGCTCGTATTCCATTATGAGGACATGCACCCTTCCTGGTCTCATTCTCACGATGAGCTGGTATCATAGCAATTTCCAAGAACCTTTCAATTCTAGAAGCCATAATCCAGCTCCCTGGTGATAGAGGCATAGCAAGTTGACTAATCCAAAAGCAATGACCTGATTGAGGGGCACCACTAGGGTTTAAACCTATGCCCAGCAAGTGCTGTACCATTGAGCTGTGTCCCTCTGCTGTTTGTGTATTTTATTTTGAGATAAGGTCTCACTAAAGTACCTCAGCTGACCTTGACTTTGTGACTCACCTGCTTCAGGATCCTGAGCAGAGTCGCTGGGGTTGCGTGGGTGCACCATGCCCAGCTTTTGATGATCTGAAAGTATCTGCACTACTTTTACATGATAAGGATGACTGTTAAGATAGGTGTAAGTCTCCTGTTTTGCCTCATTCACTGCAATAATGGAAAGTGATTGTGTCGTATCCTAAGACAGGGACACTTGGGGACTGAAATGCGAACAGAATATACTGCACATGATTTTTCTTTCCAAAGCAGTAATCAGTCAATTTCATTAAGTTGGTACAGCTCCCCATGAAATAAAACTTTAAAAAATAAAGATCATGTGGAAATTCATGAGATAATTTCTAAAATAAAAATGGGTTTTAAAAAACTATTCTAGGGGCTGGGAGTGTTGTGCAATGGTACAGCAGTTGCCTAGAGAGTGCAAAGCCCTGGGTTCAATCCCCAACATTTCCAAAAACAAAAGCTCAACAATGTAGGCATTAATAAACCTAAATGAAAGGTGAGAAGGCAAGGAAATTCTATATTTGAAATTTATGGAATTTCAAGAGCCTTGAAATTTGAAAAAATTTTGGTCATTCTGATTTTTTTCTAAGAAAATCATCAAAGGCACCAACAACATGAGTTTCAGCTTGATAATTTGGACTTCAGCATTGTTACCTGTACACCCACAAAGGCAGATTCCACGGTGTGTCCCCTCCTGGTCACTTCCAGGGGCAACATGCCCACATCCTCGCAGACCTCATACTCTGTCTGTGACCACTCAATGTGAGACCACCTCAATTCCAAGCTGCATGAAAGGAAAGACGAGATAAATGGGCTGTTATCAGATAAGCATAACAAACCTTCAATGGAATTTTCTGCTTTATGGGAGAGTCACTGGTTTCCATGGTGGTGGAAACAGCAGTTGATCAGCCTCTGCCCAAGACAGAAATTTGTTCCAATTATTTGGTGACTTTTAGTTCCTGATGAACTTTTACTAATATTATCTCATTGATCCTTACAATGAATGACCCTGAGGGGAGACCCAGCAAGGATCAGAATTCTATTTTACAAATGAAGAAACTAAGATGAAAATATTGTAGAAAGTCTCACGATTACTAATGACAAAATAAAAGATGCAAACTTGAGTGTTTTCAAAGAAAGAAACCAGCAGTGATTAAGTTCAAGGAGCCGCTTATTCATAGAAGACACTAATGTGAAACCTGCTTGGCTTTTGGCCTTCCTTGTGAGTACAACAAGGTCTGTTCCAGACATGTGTCCTCTCTGAACTTGGGTTGAGCTTTAGACATTGTCTTTCAGGATGTGCCTAGCAAGCATAATGTACACGTGTTTAATGACTGTTACCTGTGTAGATGTTATGGGGTTAAAGATATATAGATTAGTAGGAAACAAGGAGAAAGAAAGAAAGAAGGAAGGAAGGAAGGAAGGAAAGAAAGAAAGAAAGAAAGAAAGAAAGAAAGAAAAGAAAAGAAAAGAAAAGAAAAGAAAAGAGAAGAAAAGAGAAGAAAGAGAAGGGAGGGGAGAGGAAGAGAGGGGAGGGGAGGGGGAGAGGAGAGGAGGGGAGGGAAGAGAAAAGAGCTGCACTAGTAGTAACTTGGCTTCGGTCCTAGCCGCTCCTCAGCAGCCGTGGAGGACTGGCTCTAGGTCGGTCTCCCCTCAGAGACACCACAATCTGCACGCAGTTGCTCCGTCTCTTCTATCAAATGGTGTTCATGTTTGTGTATAACCTTGCTTATCCTCTTGTATGCTTTAAATGATCTCTACATTACTTACAATGCCCGATATAATGAACATTCTATGGGAATTATTGATTTACCGTCCTGTTTAGGGAGTAAGGACAAAGAGAACACCCTCTATGTGTGCAGCACAACACAGTCATTTTTTCTGGTTAGTTTTTATCAGCTGGTCGAATCTAAAGAACTTGTGGGATGTGGAATGTCAGCCACACACAACTGAACACACCTGATCCATAGGAGGTGCTCTTCTTGCTGTAATATATTTAATGAGCCCAACAGCGGTAGGAGCTGTCTTCCTTAATCCTCATCAGCAAGAGAGGAACTCTATTTTTTTTCCAAAGAAATCATTTATTCTGCCTTTACCACTTCTATTTCTAAGTGAAATTCTCTGATTCTTCTTGTTTGAGCTTAAGCAGAGTGATACAATTTAATCACTTCTCTGAAATACATTCCTTTTTGAAATAAGAGTACTTAAAATATTTCACTTACACACTTCTCTGAAAACATGTCCTTACCACTTTTGCCTGCTTTTATCTCACAATACAGCCTTATAAAAACACAAGCTATCTTTATTGATGGCCGAGTATACAAACATTGCTTTTGTTTTATTTATTTCTCTTTTATTCTAGGATTACAAAACCTTCAAAGGTTCCTTCCTTGTTATCCTCCCCAAACTTGCAATCAGATTTAGCCTACTCTTGTAATTTTTTAAAAAATGTATTTGGTATAGGGTCTCACTATGCAGCTCAGACTCCTATTGATCCTCCTGTCTCAGCCTCCCCAGCACTGGGATTACAGGCCTGCACTACCACACCTGGTCTCAGTGATTGGTTCAGTGGGCCTGGGGGTGGGGCTGGTATAGCATGTGCTCCTGGGATCGAACCCCGGTCCCTGTGCTTGCCTAAGCAGGCTCTTAGTCCGCTGAACTATCTGACCAGCCCATAATTTTTAAATTTATCTTTTATAATTTTTTCAGAGCTAGAAATTCCGGATCTATTGTGAAGACCAAATGTTCCCACTTTTCAAAGGGTGTCCAAGCTTTCCTGGGCATCCTTCCTACCAGAAAGCAAGGCTAGCCTCAAGTTAACACTGTTATCCTTGGGTGGATCATGACCACAATCACTTCTAGAGCAAAACAAAATCAATATCACTGGTTCATACCTGAGGTTCCTGGGCCAGGGGGACTGGGTCACGGCACAGCATGGAATTATTACAGAGACCCATGTGTCTCCATGACAACACATGCTTATTCAGTCAGTAGATATGAAACATCATTACTGCATACTTCATAAAAATTTTGGACATGTTAAGAAGATCCTCCTATTAAAAATATTGGGGCCCCAATGGGTATATGCTGCCACTGAAATTAAATCTAGCATGATAAAGATCCCGAAATACAGAAACAAAATAACTATGCCAAAGAATCATACAGGATATCATCAATAGAGATAACATGTTGCCATGAGCTCTTGGAGGATCCAGTTAATGAAAAGAAAAAAATTCTCAGCAAGAGGGGTTGGGAGAGAAGACATAAATATGAAATGGAAAGCAAGGTGGGCTGGGAAAGCAGTGAAACAGATAAATCTGGATGGATTTGAATTAAGTCTAGGCAAGGTTCAAATGGGATTCAATGTCCAATTCTTTCGAGAATCTATTGATTGCAGTTAATCACCATGAGCACAACTCCTTCAATGTCACTCTGCAGATCCAAGTGGCCTCCAGGCCTCAAATGAAATGCAGTTTGGCTGCTGATCTAGGCCTCGAAGGGCGTTCAGCCTCAAAGCCTGGGGGCCTTCATATCGGAGAATTGTGTGAATTTTTGACTTAGCTTCACAATGCTGCACGATGCCTATAGGTTAAGGCTGTCCTTCTACAATGCTCTGTTTATTTTCTTTAAACTATTCACTACAGATAATAAAGATCTATTGAAAGGCCATGAAATTTAAGCCAGGCTATATATTTCCCAGAAAAACATTTAAATAGTAAAGCCCTTGCATACCTACAGGATATGTATAACATATGTTTGAAAGTGATTTTTGAGTTTTGCAATACTGTATCTGAGACTTTTCTATGTTGAGACTGTGATTGTTTGAAGTCTACACAAACACTAGAAGAAAATCAAGAGATATAAATAATCACCTGGGAGGTCTTTGTGCAAGGAGCTATACAGCTGTATGTTCAAAAATAAATATCCAGATGAAGGAGCCCAGGCAAGCAACCTGGAAAGGTCTGGGTGGGAAGGCATTGTGGGAGAAGGCTTGGCTCATGTCTTCCTACTTTAGGCACCCTCCATCCTCAGGTAAAACTCATTCTGTGATCAGAAATGAAGTTTCCCAGCACCTGTATATGAAACCCATCTGGCAATCCTGCACATTTCTTAGTAGGAGGTGAGACCTCTTCAGACCCTCGTTGGGCTCTCAGCTTTAGCACTGTGGGCAGTTTGAAGCAGACAATGGGCTGGGAAAAGGAGCACATGGCTGTCCCTGCACTTGGGTGTACTTGCCCACTTTCCTTCACCCACAGCCATTGACACTGTCTCCAGATTTGCCAAATGTCCCTCTAAAGAAGAGTCACGCCTAGTAGAGAATTGCATCGTTCAAGTGCAATACCACTTAAGGCCTGCACATCACAATGGGAAAGCTAACTCTGGTGAGATCAGGTGTGCTCCGGGTGGGGGGCTGGAAACAGAAAAGCTAACTCAAAGCAAAAGCGAAACTTTCATTTCCAGCGATCACTTGCGGAGGATAGCATGGAGGAGGGAGGTTAAAGGGCCCCTGGCACCACTCTGCCACTGGCCATCTATAAGCAGCCCTGCATCTAAAATGCTGTTTAGACTCTCAGTTTAACACTGCAGCCTCATCGCCACAGCCCCACAACTTCGATGCCCTTTGTCCTGGCCATCGTCGCATTCTTCAAAACTCGCAGGATGTGTAACACATTGTCTAGTTTATCTAGACAAGCTATGCACCAAGAAAACAGGGATGTTTGCCTCACTGCTGTTTCCCAAGTCCTCTGCAGAGTGTGTCGGCCAAATAAGTGTTCAACAAATATTTGCTCATTGAGCCTTTTGTTTTCTGCAGCACTCTACTGCTTAGCTAACCCCCTGCCCAAATGAATCTTATTTAGCCTGGTACTTCTCGCATGACAGTGACCATTGTGGTCCATAGCTAGATGTCCCCTGAAACCTCATGAGCTCACAGGCAGGGTTTTTGAGAGGTGGTTGGATTATGGGGTGCTCCGGATGGCTTGTGCTTAGAAGGCAGGGCCCAGGAGCAGACGCTAGCGAGCTGGTCAGCCTCCTCTCCCTCCATGGCTCCTTTCTTCCCAAGCTCATCCCTCCTCCTAAGCCATCTGACCATGTAAGGATGTAAACTTCTAAAGTTTGAGCCCAAATAAGCCTCCTCCTCGAGTTGACTGGAGTCTGGATCGAGTCTCAGAGATAAGGAAAGTGACCAAGATAACGACCAAGTGAAACTTTTTTGCCAGCCTTATTAGCATAACCATTTATAAACCATGAAAAAAAATCTAGGCCATAACGTTTTTATATGTTCTTTTAGCCCTGCCTGACTCTGGGTTAATTGCTAGACTTCTTTAAAAAGTGAGATGACATAGATAAAAAAGCATTCGAGCAGAGACCATGATTTTTTAGCCCTTATTTATGCTGTCTTAGAGTGTGTATGCCATTACCAACACAGGCCATGTCCAGAGACAGAGCGCGCTGCCATGAAGAACAGGAGGGTGCCACTGGCACTCAGTGGGCAGAGCTCGGGCTGCTGCTCCGTGTCCTGCAGCGCACAGGACATGGGCCCAAAGGACTGCTTGTCCCCAAGTGCCAACAGCACCAGGGTCTTGTTTTAGGGTAAAAAAAGAAAATATACTGTTTGAAATTTTATTTTGTGGCTACTCAATTTATTTATCACTTTGTTGTTATTTCTGAGACATGGTCTCGCCATGTAGGCAGTCCTCCTGCCTCAGCCTCCTGAGTGCTGGAATTGTAGACATGCACCATTAAGGCCAGTTGTGATTCATCTGTATGAAGGGATAATTAAGT